AGAGCCAAATCTAAAGAAAGGCCACACGCTCAGCATAGGAAGGTTCAGCGCTTGAGTGATTATAAAAGCCTTGCAAGCTTGAATACGACTCAGTAAGTTTCTTGTCAAATTTCGGGGCAACACTGGAAATCAAAATACCAGGAAAGATGGTATCGCCCAAAGGCGGAAGATTTACTAGGGCTCCAACGTCCCTTAGAGTAATAGACATGGGACCAAAAGGGAAAACAAAGGTATTATACTCAGAAAACTAAAAACTCAAAGCAATAGAAAAAAGCACTGAGTCAAAAATTGGGGGTTGAAGAGTAATTTCTAATAAATCTGAAATCCTAGTACGATCAAAAATCACCTTAGTAGGGCCATGATTCACAAGACTTGCATGCCATCTATGAAAAATAACATCAGCTTTGGGCCAAGTGCGAATACCCTTTTTGCAAATCAGCCTCAATGGCAGAGAGTTCAGGAATGGAGGACCTTGAGTACAAGGGAACAGCTGGCCCACAGCCACTTGTCCGACGACTTCGGCATTATTGAACGATGGACCCAAATAGAATTCATTGAGGTCAGCACTAACTTGTGTAAGGAAGTTTGGATTTACATATGGCCTAGTAAGGATTTTTTGGAAATCTTCGAAACTAAAGGAATCATCAGATTAAGTTTGTGAAGTCGCCGTTGGAAACAAAGTGCAGTTTTGATAAGGTTTGCCTAAGAAACGTAGCAGAGAAGCAAGAAGATGAACAGTAAAATAGCGAGGAAGAAGCGCGAAATATAGAGGCGTGGTTTAGTGGTGCAATGAAATGGCGTGTCCTTTTGGTTTATAAGGGTTTGTAACGTTGCACTTTTTTAGACTGTAGAAGGAAATAATGATTGAAATTCTTGGGAATTTCAAATATTGCTGGAAGATACAAAGTGAATATGCCAAAGATTAATAATTAGTATTAATTCCGCCATAATGGGGGATAATTGTTGATACACTAAAAGTGCAGCCCAAATCAAATAGCTCAAAAAGTGAAGCCCAATTGGGGAATCCAGGATAAAAGTCTGTTGATACACTAAAAGTGCAGCCCAAATCAAATAGCCCAAAGAGTGAATCCCAATTGGAGAATCCACGATAAAGGTTCAAATAGGATTATTGATGAATGTGGTGGAAGCCCACGAAAATGGTAACATCATTGCCCAAGCTTGTAAGACACCCAGAATTTGAGTGAATAGAATACCTTACGGTCGCTCAGAGCGATAACCACATTCTCGCCCAAACTTTCGAATCGCCCAGGATCTTAGCAAGCATAAAACATTACGATTATCCAGAATAGCAGTTATTGAAGCAGTTATTGAGTGATCTTATCACATCCCACAATTCAAGGAGCCCAGTTGAAGGCGGTTGAACGACAAAGAGTAATGGCAACAGTTAGGGACGGCAGTTTCACGGCAAGTTAGCCACTATAAAGAAAGTGGGTAGTTATACAGCAATCAAGCAGTTTTCAAGCGGTTTGTCACGAAGAAATCATCAAAGGACTATAAAAGAAAGAGAAGACATAGAGAAAATGACCCCGAATCAAATACTCTCAAACATAGAATATGTAATTTCAATTTCTTAGTTTAGACTTAAACATTTCTTTTAGTACTCGTATGCTTGCGCCCCTTGGAAGCATTCTATTTAGTTCAAATTGTAAATCATCGCCAATAAAACACCCCTTTTTGGGACTTTGTCTCGAGAGGTCTGTTCCTTACACAATCGTCTGATTCCTTTTTAATTGTTAGCGATTACCCGCGCGAAACACATTTTTAATTTATCCAAACAAATAAAATTGAGCGAGTCAATTACATATATTGAAGGTATAAATTTAAAGGATGTCTATCAACTTCTCTACTGCCTAATCAACAATCAAAATTTTCATCTTATCCAACTTCTATCCTCCTCCAATAAACAATTTTCATCTGCAAATATAAACAAATTAAAAGTTGAATGTTTAAACGATATAGGATTTACCCTTGAAAAAATCCCATTAATAACTCAACTCAATATAGCAATTCTATATTAATGGATATAATATTATGATAGCCATTTTAAACTACATTTAGCATGGTACCTTTTATTTCATTTCAATATATCAATAGGAACGTTAAAATTGTACATGATTTTCATGTGATTTATACTTCAATGGCAAGACCACTTAATGTTCAATTATATGTTGCTTGCATTTTTAACTTTAAAATTGAAGGTTCCTCCAATTAGGGATTCAAATTCAGATATTTAAGTGAGTGATGATAGACGTCCAGGGCCACATGTCTAGCATAATTCATAGTAATTAGACAAAAAGTTTTAAACCGACCCTATTTACATATTATAGATATAAAAGTATGTTTGTATAAGGGTAATTGGCACAAAATGTCTTTACCTTTAAAGTTCATCGTGAAAAACGTCCTCACCTTTCATTTTTTGGCATTTTTGCCCTCATTTCAACCTTTCTTTGCTCTGGACGTCCTTTTCACCTATTTTTAACTTAAATGACCAAAATACCCTCGTATTTATACAAAAGAAAAGAAAAGAAAAGAAAATTGCACCTTTAGGCCCGAATTTTTAAAAACTGCAAATGAGTTCAAATTTAAAAAAAAAAAAAAACTATAACATTCTTCTACAAAAATGTCAAAATCTTAGTGCTTTGTAATATTTCATGGCTAAAACTGATGGAGCCGCCACTTCCCAATCACCAAAACACCACTTTGTCACCAACTATGTCACCGGATAAGATCTCTGAGATTAACCAACCAATTGGGTTCGTTTGGCTATTCTTTTCTATTGAAAAGGACTCGACTAACTGACAAGGGAAAAGAGGAGTGAAGCCATTCGACCCCTTAATTGGTAGTAGAACAACCACAACACACTCCAACAAACAATCAATAGAAACCACCACTTTGACCAAGAAATCGACGCAAAACAACTACAATTTTTGTCCCCAACACCAACTGAAACCCTCACTTCTAACGATTCCCATGGCCGTCAACCACCACCATTCACCTCGCCTCATCTACGCGAACATTTTGATGGATCAACATCATCAAAAACAGCCCCAATAAAATTATGCAATTTCTGTGAAAAAATGACTAGTTCCGACACATTACAAAGCAGTCACACTTATATCAATTGAGGGGTCCTATATTGTTTTTCCATCCAATGTTCAACACCGTCATACGACCCCGGGTATGCAATCAATTGAATCATTTGATCCCCTAATTGATCCAATTTTGCAGTTCAAATCAGCCCCAAAATGGACAGACCTTCAAGCTGCCAATTCTCTACTTTCTGTTGGGGCCCACGCCACAGCAACCCATCCATTGGATTTAGACTCATGAAACCCCCCCCCCCCCATTGCTATTAATGTCATTCTTATGAAAATTGAAAATAGATTTTATTTATTCTACCGGTTTGATTATAGGAGAATTGGGCAATTTATAAGAAATTGTTCTATGAAAGAAGGTGATAGTTTTTTTGAAATTTGGACTCATTTGCAATTTTTAAAAATTTGGGCCTATAGGTGTAATTTTCCTTTTTTTTTGGTTTTGTACAAATAGGAGGGTATTTTGGTCATTTTAAGTTAAAAATAGGTGAAAAGGATGTACAGTGCAAAAAAAGGTTGAAATGAGAGCAAAAATGCCAAAAAATGCAAGGTGAGGACATTTTCCACAATGAACTTGAAAAGTAGGGACATTTTGTACCAATTACCCTTTGTATAATTATATATAAAAATAATATGTTGAGCATAGTTGGTACATAAGTTGAGCAATATTAATATGACATCAATTAATTGACAGATCATTTAAAATTTGGGACATGCAATTAATTTATTTGTCATGTCACCATTGCTTTAGCATAAGCTAGACAATGCAAGTTGATAAGGTTTGGATGCACATGCGAAAAGAACATTTTTCAAATTAAAGAAGGTCTAGATTGTATCCTGAAGAATCTGAACCATTCCAAGTTCTCGAAAAAAATTAATGACAATGCCTACAAATTGGATCTTTCAGGTGAGTATAATATGTAAAGCTGGGCAAATCTCACGAACCGAACTAACTGAACCGAATCTGACGGTTCTTGTCAAGTTAAATACCCGAACGGGTATCTGAATTAAGAACCGACGGGTACGGTTCGAATCTCTGTTCTAGACCAAGAACTGAATAACCGAATCTTCCTAATTTTTATTTTTTAATATTGAATAAATCAAATTATTTTAATTTTTTCTAAACAAATTAACAAATTAGGTGATTAATTGATACTTCATCTCCTAAGCCCTAGCCTAGCTGGCTTGACCTAACCCAACCAATTTCTAAATCCAATTTCTTGGCCCAGTTATTTGTTTCATTTCTAATTTTTTAATTTTTAGCTCAAGTGCCCTTTTTAGTTTTTATTCTTCCATTTCTTGGCCCAACATCCAAGTGATCCAACCCACTAATGACTAATCTTAAATAAATTACACACATTATCATCTACACATAACACATCTGACATTCCAAAACCCAAAAAGATGTATAGAACCGCCGACTCCAAGTCTGAAGCTATAACCTTCGGGCTCCGATGGCGAGCTTCGACCGTTGATCATTTGAACAAGGTAGTGTGTAAGCTTCCTTATATGTGATTGGTAAATTAATCTTATTGGACAACTTATTATATACATGTTATTAAATTGGATTACGTTAATTTGTAAAACTACGATTGAATGCGTCATTAGTTGTATTTATGTAGTGTTGTTATAAATGTTAAATATTTTAATTATAGTACGGAACCGAACCGAATAGAATCGAACCCGAACGGTTCCATAATTATATTTGGACCCGACGGTTCTATTTACTAAATACCCGAAATTTTTGGTTTGGTTCGGTTTTAATAATATGACCACAAATAGGGGCGCCACATGGGCCTAAACGTCTAGCTTAATTCTATTTAAGTAGGTTGGGGCCTGAACCTCACTTTTTGTATATCTCTGTGGAACTTGTACTGTGTAATGTGTTTAACTGAAGAGATACTATAAAGTGTGAGACTGCATTTGTGTACTTTTTGCAAGCCCATATTTAGTAACTGTACATATATGTTCAAAGTTTGAAACTAACTTATTATCTGATACACTATTCTGTAGTAAAACTGCAACTTATTATTCAGATCAAGCTTCTGCTGTCTATACCAGTCAAAATAAAGCTTAATTCACAACTTTAATAATTAATTAATTGCTATTCTCCATACAGTTCTAGATCATTAATACCAAAAAGAGTTCTATGTTGTAATAAAAGAACTCCTACATTTATGCATACCTATAATAGCTAGTAGTTGGCGGAACTGCAGAATACTGCTTGTCCAGAATTTCGATAAGCTTGTTAGCTATCGCACTCGCATATACAATTGACCCTTCACAGATCTGCACAATGACATTAAATCGTACCAAAAATTTATTGATTTCATGATAATATTATAAATTGAGATCATCAATTAAGATGAAAGAATTTACTAAAACTAGCTACCTTAGAGTTGAACAAAAAGCTATAGTAATCCCCAATTAGGCCTCCAGCAACATGATGAAGATCAAGCTGAAGCTCCTCAAGAACCTTTGATACAAAGAGTAAGCAATTGATTCTCTTCTGTTGAACAAGCTTGACAGTGACTTCATCGTCCACAATTCGAACATCAACCTCAGAGTTCTTCGATTTCCTGTGGAGCCATGAGCTTCTTAAGGATGAGGCATTATAAGGCTGCTTCATATCATCTACAGACTGTGTGTCAATATTCCCCTCCATGGTATCATCTTCTATTTTGGCCCTTTTGAGCCTCTCCTTACAACATCTCTTCTTCTCCACCAACACTTTTAGCTCATTCACTGTCCTCTGAAGCTCGTTTATGTATTCGATAGCATCTCCCACAACCGAGGCTCTATCTTTCTTGTGTTTTCTCACAAAAATTTCAAAGTGTTAAAATCACTTGCAAAATGTAAATGAACAAGATTGCATATTTTGTGCATACTTTGAAATAAATATCTTAAATCTAAATATCTTTCTACAAGAAATTTCACTTTTCGCGATGAAAATTAGAAGTCTCTCGACAATTCTTCTCAATGAAACAACTTTAAAATCCCTTTCAAATTTCTTGATCTGTTGCAAATGTGTACATATACTAGATCATATATATGTCAAAACACAGAATTTCAACAACTATAAGGGAATTAAAGTGATTACCTTGGTGGAGTTAGGAACCAAGCTCCTCAAAGCCATGAATTTGTCATTGAGAAGAACTCTCTTATGCCTCTCAGTAGTCAAATGTTTAGTGTCCTTTTCAACCCTAATTTTACTAATACAATCAATATCACCAGTGAAGTCAAAAACCCCATCATCAAAGTGCCTCCCATCGCCACCATTCACATCTCTCTCATCCATCACCCCAGGGAATAAGGATCCACCAGTCCTTGACCCTCCCAGTGCATGACCTCCATGAGGTAAAGAGTGAAACAACCCTCTCAGAAAACGGGGCTGCTGTTGAAGATTCAAAGGCAATAGAGGATCATACCCAACAGTAGCTGAGGCCAATGCGTTGTCGACAGGATTAAGATCCCCTAAGATGCCAAGGGAAGCCAAGAAATTGGGAGATTTCTGGGCTGAATTTGGAAATGAAATGGTTGAATTGGGAAGTAAAGAGGCTGTGGATGATGAGCATCTAGGCAAAGGAAACATATTGAGCAAATCGGGTGTTGTGGGATATGGAGTTTCTGGCAATGAATACTGATTCATATTTCCATTAACATTACTCATTTCTTGCCAGTTTGAATCATGCACAATTTCTTGCATCAAATGGAGATAGCAACATCTTGTTGAGTGGGGTGATTTTGACGGTAATTTAAGCGTTCCTCCATAGAAAAACATGGGTTGCTGCAATTTGGTAAATGGGTTTGTAAGAAACCATCCTCAGCTTGTATCAAACCTTCTTGCTGCTGTATATTGTTGGGATCAAAACAACCACTTTCTTCATACATGTTTTTGCGATTCACCAGAATAAAAATGTTTTATTGTCTCCTGTATTTTGGGGTCCTTGCCCTCGTCTTACCTTCAGGAAACAAACAAAAAAACTGAAGAGAAACAGTACAATGACTCATAAATATACAAAAAGAGCATCTACAAACCCTAACCTTTTTTGATACAAGGTGAGGTTTCCAAGTAAATTTGTTTATTCTTCAAATTAAGAAAGAGTAGAAGATATATGAAACCCACAAAAAAATTATGGGATTGTGGCAAAATAAAGTAGAATTGCATGAAAATAAAAAAGTTTTCAGTAGTAAAGATTTGTGGGATTGGAAAAGAAGAGAATATGGTATTGGTAACAAATAAAGGAATGGTTGGTTTGGGGTTAGGGAGAAGTGAAAGATAAGCATGTTTTGTGTTTGGCTAAATTAATAAAATTCTTTGAAGCACATTATTGTGAAGTATTAGAAATTTACTTATAAGCCACTTTTAAGCTTAGCTAAACGTTGTTGGAAAAAGCCCCCAGGGCACATCTCCAAGTGGTAAAAGGGGAGGGTGGAGAAATCCAGCTTTGTTTGAGGCTGTCGCGTCAAGGGTTCGAATCCTAAAATATAGATTTGGCTCTTGAGTAAGTGCAAGTGTACAAACAGCTTTCCATCCTGTACTCTTGGAGGCATAACCTGCGATTTAACTCCCTCACGATGCTTCAGGGCAGGGGTGGTGGGGGACCCTTAAGATTAGAGTTTAACCCTTTTTTTTTTTTTTTTAAACGTTGTTGGGAAAAGGTGGGAAGTTGGTTACTGAAATTCTCATGTAATGGAACCCAATCATGATTTTCGTATTTCTGAACACTGAATAGTACAACACTGCAACTTGATTTTACACTGACCAATTATTGTATCTACCATTTCCCTTTCAACTTCCACCCACTCCCCGCAATCCCAACCCTTATTAATGGATCCGATACAACTTATTTCGAAGTCAGTTGAACTCTATCTTATAACTTCATCATCGTCGATTTCGATGATTTATTTGACCATGGTAATAAGAGAGTACGATCTCCTCTCCTATTATTCGTTCTTGGGAAGTTCCTTTTTGCATAATTATTAAACTTGATTCGACAAAAGCCTTGTAAATCTCAATTGAACCGCTCATGACAACATTAGATTAATGAAGATGCCAACTTTCACTAGGTTGTTTTAGTTGTTTGTTATAATGCTAATCAAAAGATGTAAAGTTGTTGAGTTTAAATTCTTTGTTGATATGCAAAGTCATTATTATTATTTGCATTATCATGAAAAAGAGAGATGTTAAAGAAAATATGATGTAGGATTTTTCTCTTATAAACTTCTTTTTTGTCATAATGAATTAATAGCAAGGACAAGGACATAGTCTCATATTGAGTCAACATCTATAAATTTTGTGTTTTCTTGTGTCTTTATTATTTTATTACAATTTTATTGCTATTGATGGTACAGAGTTATGCTTTTTAATTCAAAATAATTACACAATAATTTTTCATATGTATTTAAAATCATTTATTTTTAGAAAAAATGATAATAAATTAAATTATTTTTATTAGAATTTTGATAACTTGGTTTTATAAATATTATAAATTTCAAGGGAAAAGGGAATCAAAGAGAATAAATATTTCAAGTATTTTAAAAAGAATTATATGAAATAGGAGATGAAAGACATAAATACATCTATATAAATACTAAGAACATTTGAAAAGTTATATAAATATTGGAATTAATTTTTATAAAAGAGAAAAAAAATTATATAATATTTCAATTAGTACATGAATTTTTAAATTATGATCCTCTTTAACTTGGGAACTAATGGTTATATTCATGTCCCTTTGTTTTTTGAAAAATATAACGATATATTAACAACATATGAAACTTATATAAATATTGAAATTAGTTTTATAAAATAGAGAATTATTTTTAGAGTTTTACTACATTGACAATATTATTGACACTTTCGTTGATATTTCATGATGTGGTAGGCAATCCGACCACTTATTTGAATAACACTCATCCAACAATGGTTAAATTTTCTACACATCATGAAATGTCAACTAAGTGTCCAAAATGAATGTCAAAGTAAGATTTTCCATTTTTTTATGATATTCCAATTAGTAAATGAATTTTAAATTATGATCCTCTTTAATTGTGAACTAATGGTTATATTTATGTCTCTTTGCTTTTTGAAAAATAATTTTTTTTAACATTCAACCTAAGAATGATTCACCGGTTGTACCAACAATCTAATGACCGACCCATCAATTTGGCCGGATGACTGACCGGGCGAGTCTAATAAGTAATGACTATAACTTTTTGCATCCGTGGAAGTGAAGCGTAAATTTCATTGTTGGTCATTAACGTTTTGTGAAATTTCAACTATGTTCACTTTATTGCAATCAAATCAGTATGTTGGCTCTTGTCACATGTTACTAAAATTAAGTTTCTATCCTAATCCTGTGTGGATCTTGAAAATTGATAGAATTCTATCGTTATTATTTATAGGGATGACAATGGAGTGGGTATGGGACAGATCGGTCATTACCACTCCCGTTCCAGTGGATATTTTTGTTGTCATATCACATACTCATACTCGATTAGAGCGAGACAGGACAGATTTGGGGCGGGATTGCGAGGGGGGGGGGGAAGGTCCCCCCGCCCCATTTATTTTATCTTTTTATTTTATTTTATTTTATTTTTTGCTTTTAGTGTTTTTTTTAAGTAAATATTATTACTTTTTTACTAATTTGTTAAAAATAACTTATGTTCTTTTTAAAAATGATGATAAATCTATTATTTTTGTTTGACAAAAATTTAAATTTGAAATTAACATTAGCAACGGGCGGGGATTATATTTCCCGTACCCGTTCCATACCTACTTTGGGGAAATGACCCTTGTCTCGTACGCGCCTCATGTACTCAATTAGGCAGGTAATCTCCACCCCATTCGGAGCAGGGCCTCACGAGTATTGGATTAAACAGGTTTTTTTGTCATCCCTAATTATTTGCTCTAAGTAAACATGCCATCGTCCACCAAATAAACAAGTAGCATATGTTCTCAAATTTTGCAAACAACTCCTCAATAAAGTGACATATTTGCCTAATAAGGTAAAACATGCCATATTGCCATCGAATTTACTCTTTGATAATAGTTTTGTTATATAAATAGAAATGATACTGCAAAAATCAGTAACGACGAGAAGAAATTCAAAACATTACTAAGGTAACATATTCCTTCGGTGCCACAATCTACTTAACAGGGAAAAGCAACATTTGCCTGCATTGGCAGAGGTAGCAGTTGAAAGGTGGAATTTAATGATAAGGCAAGAAACCTAATATACGGATGATATCTTATTTTTCTCATTCGTGGAGACATAATTTGTTCAGACAAATACTAGAATATAACAGCATTACGTGTTTGTTAATCAAACAGATGTTAGTTAAGTAACCAGCTCATTATCCACCAATATATAAGCTATTAATTGCTGGGATATTTATTCCGTCATTTTTCCCGAAATTGTTTCATTTCCAAGGTTCTATAGCAATTCTATACATGCACGTTTTCCAATTAGATTACACATATTCTTGTTTGGATGAGCTTACAATGTATATCCAATATGAGGTTCCTTGGTGTAACATCATTGGCCGAAGACATAGGTTTAGCCTATTAGAGTCATGAGACTTGGAGGGGGATAGATGTAAGTTAAATTTTAGAATCTAAGGGCTTGTTTGGTGGTGATTATAAGAATTGATATTTTGATCGTTAGAGAGAAAATTAGATCCTACCTGTAAGTAAAGAAGTCAAAAATGATGGCTGGAATCATAGGTATCAGAACCGGACTTGACCGGGAACCGCTGAACTGGACCTTGGTCCGGTCCGAGTGAAGAAATTTATCAGTTAAGCATGTGAACTGGACTTTGACCGGTTCGCCCGTCTACCATCAGTTCGAACCGAACGGTTTTCAGTGGAATCGAATCCGGTTCAACGTGTGAACTGAATTATTACTAAATTGAAATAAAATGTCATGCTAAATTTGATGAAGTTGTGATTCAAACCATGGCAGGCAAGGAGAGATTTCAACTCCATGGACATTATGACAAGTGAAGATGCTTTGTTTACTAATGGGAGCAAACTATATATATATAGTGGAACATACTTGGCTAATTGCCCGGACTCAAATGGATATGAAATTTATGAATAAAAATTAATTTTTGTCCACTTTACATAAAAAGATAAAACAACCATTATATATATATATATATATATAATTTAATTAAAATTAAAGTCTAACCATCGATCCACCAGTTGAACCATTGACCCGGTGACCCGATGGTTTTTCTGGGTCGGTTTGAATGAATATGGCTAGAATAGTGAAATAACGATTAAAAATCAATTTTTTTAGGTGAAAATTGCGACCAAACTAGGGCTAAATATTTTAGGTTCAAACATGGAAACCTTTACATTTCAAATTTCAAAATAAAAATTTGAAAATTTCCATATCAGACTCAAACAAATTAAATGAAAACATTCAATACCCTACTTCCAATTCTTGCTTTTGTTGAATCAGTGGCTCAATACACTTTAGATTCATAACTTGGAGTTGAAAATGATCGTAATATTATACATCAGTAAACATGAAGGGAACAAATCTTAGTAGAGGACACCAGTACCCCCACAATCTAGTTTGGTCAGTACCATGAATATGATTTGCATTTAATTACAAAGATGAGTTGGACGAACTTTTCTATGAAAAAACAGTACAATTTGATTTCCTACTAACACTACATGGAGAATATCGAGA